GCAAAAGTCCCCACACTAGAAGTTCTCTGCCCAGATCCATGGTCTAGAACAGCAGGCTAAAGGGCTACAAGGGATTTTACACCCAGGGCCGAGGGTCCCTCATGACCAGGGCTTTCAGAGGAGGAAGTAACAAGGGGTGCTTCAGGGCCATACACGAGGGGTGCCTCACACATGCCTCCATCCCCATCTGCTGAGGCTGCCCCTGGCTGACACCATCAGTACTCAATCGCACACAGAACACCTCTCTTCCAGGGCACATCTCACAACAGCCGAAGAAGCAGAGACATTAGCTCATGTCAGACTAACCACGTAAGCAGATCCCTCAGCCAGCACTTTCAAATGGGGGCTCCAGGAAAAAAAATCAGCAGTTCTTAATATAGAACGCCTCTTGAAGAGACCAGAAGAATTCAGAAGCTCTGGTTGGTCTCTAAGGGCCATGAATTTTTAAGAATGTAATGATGGATCAGTAAAAGGACTTATCCCTGGAGCCCAAAAGATAATTCTCAAATCTTAAGTGCCTCAAGAAAAACAGAAAGATAGATAGAGAGACAGACGATAAAGAGAGAGAAACCCTGGCTAGCTTGGGCTATTTGCTGTAGTGGGGTAGAGGTGCTTGAAAAGCAGCTCCCCCTGCCCTAGCCGGTTTGGCTCAGTGGTTAGAGTGTCAGCCTGTGGACTGAAGAGTCCTGGGTTTGATTCCAGCCAAGGACACATGCCTCAGTTGCAGGCTCGATCTCCGTGTGCAGAAGGCAACCAGTTGATGTGTCTCTTTCACACTGATGTTTCTCTCTCTCTCTCTCTCTTCCACTCTCTCTTAAAAGCAATGGAAAAATATCCTCAAGAGAGGATTGAAAAAAAACAAAAAGTACTCCCTTGAATTTTCTAGCACTCTTTGAAATACAGGTTCCTTGATAAGTAGTATTTGGAAGAGTTTTTCTCTATGCAGTGACCCAAACAACATACTTTGCATATACACACACATGCGCACATACACACCACAAATTTTGGAATCAGTGGCACTCAACGGTATTGAAGTGTTGAAGCAGTCAATCAAATAAATGTGCTTAAATTTGGTACGAAATGAGCCTAACAGCAGAAAGGGGCAGGGCGTAGGTACAGCAACCCTAATTGACCGCACTTGCCTTCCTTGCAGATCCTGGGCCTATGTTAATACAACTCATGCTGATAAAAGTTCTAGAAAGGCAGGGCAGCAAGAGGTACTGGGACTTCCTCAAGCAGCCTCAAACCTGCTGCAACAGGCAACGGTGCGCAGTGAGTAACCCAGCAGAGACTGAAGGCTAAACTGAACAATAAATGCTCATGAACAGCGTTTACCTCAAGGGCTGTATCCACAAGAACGAGGAAGTATGCCGGATGGGCCCCCACGTGGCTATGTCCAAAATGGGGAGGGAGGAATTAAGTGTTGAGGCCAGAAACAATTTCCGCCACCTCACCACATATATCCGGCAGGAAAATCCCATCCAAGCCAAACCCTCCCTATGATAAATCACAGCTCATGTTTGCCCACCATCCTTTTCTGCATGACCACTTATCACATAAATTGTATTTATTCCACCCAGTGGAGCCAGAGGAGAGCCAGAAAGGAGAGCAAGGGGTTTGCCACTTTGTTTATTGTTTGTTTTTAATGGTTGTCTTATGCCCCTCCCCCCCATGAAAAACTATTGACTGTTGCTTTCATTAATTGAGAGATCACGGTGAACTGCCCTCTTATCTAAAGAATTCTGAAAGTGAAAGAAGCTTGAAGATCAACCCTCCCGCCACGGACTGCCCAAAATTTGTCACAAATGGCTCCAACTATAAAAACACTTAGAAGCAT